ATCTGCTGCTTCTTCTGGCTGGCTGTGGCATGGTCAGTATTCTGCACCCACACTGGGACTCAAAGGCAGCTGTTCTTCAGTCTTTATTCATTGCCCAGCTCTCACGTGCCTAGGAGGCAATGGAAAGCATCGTGGCTTGGGGACCAGCCACCTTGCTCCTCAGACTGACACCTTTGCTTTGTAACACTTTCAAGAGGTCTTTTGCAGCAGTTTGTCAGGTGTGATATGCCCTTTGATTCCTTGACTGCTCCCTTTCTGAGTCTGAGTGTGGATCCAAAGTGAAACGAATCATTAAACAGTGATTAAAGTGCGTCATAGGATGAATTACAAATTGATAATGACCTATGTAACGTGTGGCACGGTAAGTGTCCCACCAAAAGAAAGATGCATGAAAGCAACCATCTAAAGACCAAAATACCTTCCGCCGTTAAGAACTGCAGTGTTTGATTCATACATCAGTGCTTTAATTTTTAAATGACAGTTACACACAAACACCCACACGCAGCCATCTGTTAAAAAAAAGACCTCTATTGAATGAACAATCTACAAACATAAGTCAACTCAACACAGATTAATATTCTATCCCCCAAGGTTCCACTTGGATGCTGAAAAACAATTCCTTTGCATTTAGGCACAATGTGTTTACCTGCAAAACACTTCTGAAAGGACCCTAAGTCCTGGAGAATGTGTGCCACACTCCCTGCATAGGTGATGGCCTATCTTGGAATGAAACTATCCATGGTAATTACTCATGGATAAAAATGACTAATGTTGGCCTAATATTAAACGATGTGCTTTCATGTACTCTTCCAGAAACCAAAGGCATTCAATTTGTAACAAACTATGGATAACATTGTGAAGAATGAGAATTCCAGAATACTTCATTGTGCTCATGTAGAAGATGTACACAGACCAAGAGGCAATTATTTGAACAGGACAAGGGGATATCGAATGATTTAATATCAGAAACAGTGTTTTAAGAGAGTGTATCCTTTCACCAGGAGCCCTGGTCATGTCGTGGTTACACATTGGGCTGATGACCATGAGCTTAGCAGTTCAAAACCACCAACTGCTCCATGGGAGAAAGATGAGGCTTTCTACTGTAAAGTTGCAGCCTCGGAAACTCACAGGGATAGTCCTACCTTGTTCTATAGGCTCAATATGAGTTCGAATTGACTCCGTGGCAGTGAGTTTGATCCTTTCACCATACCATTCAATCTGTATGCTGAGCAAATAATCCAAAAGGCGGGGCTAGATGGAGAACTCGGCGTCGGGATTGGAGAAAGACTCATTAACAGCTTATAATAATATAAAAATGACATAAGTGTGCTTGCTGAAAGCCAAGAAGACCTGAAGCATTTACTGATAATCAAAGACTACAGGTGTTCATATGGATTACGGTTGAAAATAAAATTTAAAATCCTCAAAAGTGGGTCAGTAAGCAACATATGATAAAGCTGAGAAAATAACGAAGTAGTCAAAGATTTCATTTTACATAGCTCCTTAGTCTGCCCCCATGGAAGCAGCAGTCAAGAAATCAAATGATGTATTTCATTGGGCACATCTGCAAAAGACCTCCTGAAAGCATCAGGCATCATCAGAACAAAAAATCATATCACTGTGAATGAGGGGGAGTGTGGAGTGGAGACCCAAAGCCCATCTGTAGGCAATTGGACATCCCCTTATGGAAGGGTCGCAGGGAGAGACAAGCCAGTCAGGGTGCAGTGTAGCAACGATGAAACATACAACTTTCCCCTAGTTCCTAAATGCTTCCTCCCCCGCATCCCCCTATCATGATCCCAATTCTACCTTACAAATCTGGCTAGACCAGAGGATGTACACTGGTACAGATAGGAACTGGAAACACAGGGAATCCAGGGCGGATGATTCCCTTCAGGACCAGTGGTGTGAGTGGCGATACCGGGAAGGTGGAGGGAGAGTGGGGTGGAAAGGGGGAACTGAATACAAGGATCTACATATAACCTCCTCCCTGGGGGACAGACAACAGAAAAGTGGGTGAAGAGAGATGTCAGACAGTGTAAGATATAACAAAATAATAATTTATAAATTATCAAGGGTTTATGGGGGAGGGGGGAGCATGGAGGGAGGGAGGAAATGAGCTGATGCCAGGGGCTTAAGTGGAAGGCAAATGTTTTGAGAAGGATGAGGGCAATGAATATACAAATGTGCTTTACACAATTGATGTATGTATGGATTGTGAGAAGAGTTGTATGAGCCCCCAATAAAATGATTTTTTTAAAAAAGATGTCACCCTGAGGACTAAGGTATGCCTGACCCAAGCCATGAGAGTTTCAGTCGCCTGATAGGTACGGGAGAGCTGTGCAATATGTAAGGCAGAACAAAGAACAAAGGATGCCTTTGAATCGTGGTGTTGACAAAGAGTGAGCAAATCTCTCTTTGAAGAAGTTCAAGTCAAAGTGCTCCCCAGAAGCAAGGAAAGTCAGCCTTTGTCTCACGTTCTCTGGATATGTTATCAGGAAGGGCCAGTCTCTGGAGAAGGCCGTCCCGTTCAGGAGAGCCGAGGCTCGGCGATAGACTGAAACATTGGCTGCAACAAGCTGAAACAGCAATGACTGTGAGGCTGAGGCTGAGGCTGAAGCCGGCAGTGTTTCCTTTCGTTGTACATAGGATTGCCATGAGCTGGAATAAACTAGAAGGCATCTAACAACAAAAACATAAAAACCAAAGAACGTATGTGACACAGCCCTCCTGTCGCACCAGGAGTAAGGAAGCATGTTCAGACATCTTAGTTTTCTAGAAAAGTTAATTTACTTTGTATATAGTGCATTCTTCCTGTTAACCTTGCCAACCATGCTGGGTGACAAACAACATTCATTTGATATACATGTGAGTGCATAGGTTTCAGGCTCTGGCCTGGGTATTGAAGAGGCAAAAAGATGAATCCGACAGAGACCTTACCCTTGGGAAGTCACATTCACTTGGAGTCAGAGACACACTATTTTTGAACCCCTGCTTCCTACGAGGTACAAGGGACCGTGGACACAGGGCAGAGTAGTGAACACGCCAAACAAATTGCTGTCAATTTTGACTGGTGGCAACTCCACGTGCTATAGCTGAGCTCTCTAGGGTCTCTCGGCTGTAATCTTTACATAAGCTGATCGCTTGGCCTTGCTTTCAAGGTGCCTCTGGGTGGGTTGGAAGGATTGGACCACCCAAGGACCTTTCATTGAATCCTGACCACCGTACAGTGTTGGCAAGGAATATTGAAAGTACCACGGACTTCCAAAGAACAAACAGATTTGTCTTGGGAGATGTACTGCTCCTTAGAGGCAAGGATGGCCAGACTTCATCTCATGTACCTTGGACATGTTACCAAGAGAGACCAGTCCCTGGAGAGGGCCAATGTGCTTGATAAAGAGGAGGGGCAGTGATAAAACAGGAAGGCCCCCCCCACAAGATAGATGGACTCGGTGGCTGCAGCAATGGGCTCAAACAAGGGAACGATTTTAGGAATGGCGAAGGACCAGGAGGCATTTCATTCTGCTGCGCATATAAGGTCACTCTGAGCCGCAGCTTGCTCGATGACACCTAACAACGACAACCAAAGTGTTTAAGAGTGACCTATCAGAAGCATGCATAGAAATTGGGCTGGGGAGTGCAGGGGAGTGGGAACAGGGGCCCCCAGCAAATCTGCCCTGGAGTCAGAAATAGCTTCCCGTATTAGGTAACACGCTATCTGGGTCTGAAGGGATATGTAGAAATATACTAAATAGTTCAAAATCAATGATAGCAATGAGCAGATTCCAATGTAGGGCATTTTTATGGGGGGAGGAGAATAGCAAATTCAAAGTTAAGAGACACACAGTGCAGACTTCAGGAGGAACTGGGATTTGCGTGCTTCACGGAGCAGTTGGGCTCTTGACACACCTGGATGGCTAGTGGTTTGGGGTTGATGACTGTTCTTGATTCTCCTCTATCTCTAGGGCCTTGACAATGCCTGGCATGTAGCAAGTTGAATGGGAAACGGCGTGGCCCACAGTTCATTTATCTCAGCAAAAGGACTCCATACTGAGTGCAAGTTTAAAGATGGCATATGGCCAGCATTAAGGTGATGAAGTCACCTGCCCCCACCAAAAACTTCTCTTTTGCACAGGGAGTGCATGGGTGGGCAGCGTGGTGGAGGCGTCAGTTACGGGCACGCCAAAGCAAGGATCCCTGACCAAAGCCGCCGTGGAGCTTCCTACTTTCCTTCTCCGACCCCAACCACCCCTACTCCAGGCCTCCCACTTCCCCAACCCCAAGATCTGGCCGCGCGCGCTCCCGCACGCCGGTCCGCCCTTCCCGCCCAGCCGCCTGGAGAGCGCACGCGCGCCTGCTGGAGCGGAGCGCGTGCCCGTGAGCTCCCCGCAGCCCCGTGCTCATCCGGGTCTCAGCGAGTCTCCGCCAATAGTAGCCACTCGTGGCCCCCGGGGGCGGAGCTCAGCCTCCCCTCACACGGGGCCTGTGGTCATCGCTGGCGTCTGTGGGCAGGGCGACCGGGGGGCCGAGGAAGGGGCCGGAGGCAGGAATCTCAGCCCTCGGGGAAGGAGCTACAGCCTCCAGCGGCGGCTTCCCTCCAGAAGCGGCCGAAGCCGGAGCAGATTCCCCAGCCGGAGCCGGCGTAGTAAACACACTTCAGAAACGTGAGGTGCCGGTGGTCACGTGGGACGCGTGCTGACCAATGGGAATCCGGGGGCGGGGCCGCTGACGCGGCGGCGTCACCCGGGCCGTCTCGGGATCGGTCACCGGCCGGCAGCCGTCCAGCGTCCTCGACCCCCTCGGTCGCTCTCTGTCCTCACGCCTGTCTTCCGGGCCTCTTGGCCGTGTCGCCGGCGGTGGCCGACTCCTCCGTCCTTTCTCGGAGTGACCTGCCGCGGCGAGCCGTTTTCTCCTCGAGGGTCGTCCCGAGGCGAGGTTTCCGTGACGCGCCCCCGGGGGCCGCCGGGGCCGGCTCAGGTAGCCGTGACGGCTGCCGCTCCGGGGACTTGCTCATCCTCGAGCGGGCCGAGGCCCTCGAAGTTCTGCTCGTCCTCCCGGCGGTGGCGGCCGGCGCCGGGTCCTAGAGGGCGCCTCTCCCGGAGCGGGCAGCCTCCATTCATCCTCCAGCGCCCTCTGCATCCCGCGGCCGCCCCTTCCTCGCCCCGTGGCTGCGGCGATTCTCCTGGAAGCGCCGCTGTCGGCGATGAGCCGGACCTCCCTGCCCTGAAGTTCGTCCCGGGCAGCTCGCTCGCTCGCTCGCTCGCAGGTCCGCTGGGCGCCGGCCGCGAGCATGGGGGTGAACGCCGTGCACTGGTTCCGAAAGGGGCTCCGGCTGCACGACAACCCGGCGCTGAAGGAGTGCATCCAGGGCGCCGACACCATCCGCTGCGTCTACATCCTCGACCCCTGGTTCGCCGGCTCCTCGAACGTGGGCATCAACAGGTGGCGGTGAGTCCCAGGCCCGCGGCTCGGGGAACCCGGGGGGGAAATGGAGCCCGGGGACCGCCCCGCGCAGCCCGGCGAAGACCCGGGGGTGGTGGGGGGTGGTGGTGGTGGTGGTGGTGTTAGTAGCCATCCCTGGGAGCGGCCGGGCCTCCGGATGGATCGGAACTGTCCCTCCCGAGTCTTCGGCCGAGTCCCCGAGGTGGCGGTAAAGAGACACGCTTCTCGGGCTTCGTGGCCCACGGCTCGATTTCCGTGACCTGGGGGTGGCGTTCTATGGTAGCTTTTCATAGTCACATTTGTGCGGGTGTGGGTGCCTCTTGAAACTCACTGCCGTCGAGCAGATTCCGAACCCTGTAGGACAGGGAATGGGGGGGTTCTGAGACTAACTCCTTAAGGGAGTAGAAAGCCCTGTCTTTTGCCCAGGTTTCGAACTGCTGACCTTGCAGTTAGCCGTCCAACGCGCAACTTCTGCGCCACCCCGGGCTCTCTCAGCAGCATCTTAGTGTAGAGAAAATCAATCTTTGCCACCAGTCGCCTCCAAATCCCTTTATCTCCCACCTGGAGGTTGCTGTCGGAAAAGCTGGGAAGCAGCCGCCTTTTCTGCCTTCCGTGGGGCGCAGCGGGACCTCCCAACTCCTCCTGGTGGCGGACCAGACAAAAGACACTTTTTCTTAATCCTTCTAGGGATCGGACTCTGGGGAATCTTAGGGGAGCCTGGCATCAGTCCCTGAAGTGCCAGGCTCCCTGGTGGACGTGATCGAATTCATGCCCCAGGGAGATTATCGCTCACCTCTCCTGTGCCAGGCACGGCCCGCAATTCCGCAGAGCCTACGCGGCGCCTCAGTCATTTTAGCGGATGGCCCAGAGAACCAGCGCCGTGGTGGGTTCATGATAAGTGATGTGGAGGGAAAACCAGCCGAGCGAACTATAAGGAATACAGGGCCGGGGCTGGCCTCGTTCAAAATGGTGCTCTGGAGAAAGGTGACATCACACCCCACACCTGACAGAGGTGCTTACTGTGGCTCTCTAAGGGAAGCACATTCCAGGCCGAGGGATGGAATAGCCAGGGAAAAGACCCTGAGCTGGAAACGGGTTCGATTTTGGGAGAATAGCCGAGGAAGCCAGGATGAGTCACTCATCAGAATAGTGAGCAGGAGGAAACCACAGATGTGGCCCGGCCAGTCTTCCCACAGCAGTGAAGACCGTTGTCAAGATTTGGGCTTTGCACTGAGGGAATAATGGCAGGGTTAGTGAGGTAATGTCAGTTTGAAACCGTTTCTCTGGCTTTGTTCTCAGAACCGACTGGGGTGGATAGACATGGACAGGGTGAAAAACAAGGTGATCAGTTAGAATGATGGCATTCATTGATGTGAGCAAGACCAATGGCCTGGACCATGTTGATAATGGTGGATGTAGTCAACTACCGGTTCTGGTTTGAAGGCTGAACACACTGTATTTGTTGGTCAACTGGATATGTGGTGAGAGAAGAGGGACCGGGATTGGGAATATCTGAAATTTTGGTTTGAAAACTAGAAGGAAGGATGGAACTGCCCTTTATCAAGAAAGAAAAGCCTTTGAAGGAGAGTGATCCAATTTCTCTCTGAACCTGTTGACATTTGTAATGTCTGTTTCATATCCAAGCAGAGTTCAGGACAGAGATCCAGGCAAGAGATATAAAGTGGAGAGGTCTCCGTTTGTAACAACTCAAAAGAACAAACTGACTGCCATCGAGTTGATTCCTAGCGACCCTATAGGACAGAGTAGAATTGCCCCTGTTTATAGACAGAGTTAAAGTCATTCATTCATTCATTCATTCATTAAGCAAATAGCTGCCAAGCATCTATTATATGCTAGGCATACACTGTTTTTGTTGGAGGGGAATTTAACAGTAAACAAAATAACCAAAATTCCCCACTCTGGTGAAGCTACATTGGATGAAGCCATTACCAGGGGTCCTCAAACTTTTTAAACAGGGGGCCAATTCACTGTCCCTTAGATGATTGGAGGGCCAGAGTATAGCTTAAAAAAAAAACTATGAACAAATTCCTATGCATACCGCACATAGCTTATTTTGAAGTAAAAAGCAAAACGGGGCAAAAACACCCAGCGGGCCGAATAAATGTCCTCGGCGAGCCGCAGTTTGAGGACGCCTGCATTAGACTAACAGTGTATTCAGAAAGTGAGTCTTGGAAAAGAGGGGTGATCCAAGGACTGTTATGGGGTACGGTGAGAAATTGTGACGTTGCGGATGGCCCAGCATAGGCGACTGAAGAGCAACTAGAGAATAGGAAATCCAGATCACGGGTCATAGATGCCAAGTACAAAAGCATTCCCAGGAGGAGAGCGTATGCACCTATGCCAAATGATGCTTATAAAGTCAAAGAAGATGAGGCCTTAGAATTACAAGTCAAATTTAATATTTTGAGGTCATTTATAGTCATGTCAAGTGATTTCAGTATCAGTGGTGGGAGCCTTTTGGGAATGGAATACTAGCTCAAAAGGCAGGGAGTTGTAGGGTTGGAGACTACATAGATAGCTCTCTAAAAAGAGTTTTGCTGTAAGAGAATCAGAAACTGGGGGTGGGGTCTAGGGGGTAGGGAGGGCAGTGAATTTGAGAGAATCTTTTTTTATGACAAAAATCACAGCATGATTTGTGTGGATAGGAATGTAAAAATAATTTTTCCCTATCAGAATCAGTGTTATTACTCCTTGCTCCTGGAAAAAGAAGTTAAAAATAACAAAAGTTAAAAATAACATCTTGTAATGGATTAATAGGATCTTGCAGTCATGTAATCTTAACTCCTTTCTTATCAGGTTGCTATGAGGGTAAGTTAGTTGACATGTCTAAAATGCTTAAAATAGTGGGTGATAGTAGTAGTTAATGTGCATTTGCTTTTTGCTTTGAAGTTGGAGGCCTAAGTCAATAATAATCTCCTTAAATGCCAGTAATATCAACTTAAATGCATGCTGTCAGTTTCTTTCAGAGCAGTTTGTAAATTTGTAGAATCAGATGGCAGCATATCTTCAGGGAAATCAGTCTGTCTCTGTTCATTACTTATAGCTTCATCTATCTTTTAGAATAGGGTATATATATATATACACACACACACGCACATATATAAATTCATTGCCATCAAGTTGATACTGATCCCCGAGGACAGAGTAGAACTGCCCTATGAGTTTCTCAAACTGTAACTCTTTACAGCAGTAGAAAGCCCTGTCTTTCTCCTGTGGAGTGGCAGGTGACTTCAAACTACTGGCTTTGCAGATCACAGCCCAATGAGTCACCACTACACCACTGGGGCTCCTAGGTACTCCACAGTATTAAAGAAGAAAAAAAGATAATTTTTCAAAGGGAAATAAGAGGCTATTCTTGTGGTGCTGTTGCTTACCTTTGCACACCCAGCAGTTAACATTGCCAAATAGTGACTGAATTACAAATTAAATTTGGTACATACCACAAGAATTGTCCCTGATATATATCACTTTTTAAAATCTCCCTTTTGAAAAGTACTATATAGTACCTATTCTAAAAGAAAATGTGAAGATAAAAGTAATGAATAGAGATAGACTATTTCTTCCTTTGAAGACTTAAGTTCTACAAAGACAGGGTCCAAGTTTAATTCTGTCTGCTTTCATAGTACCAAATGCAGAGCTTTTGATATAGTTGTAGCTTAGTTACTGGTGGTTGCAGTGACATCTGGGAAGCAACCCTTTTCTTTATTACTTTCCCTCTTGACTATAGGCTAACACCCAACCCCGTCAGATTTACACAGATGCATTTCATCTTCTGTTGAGATGGGGTGGAGCATGTTCTATTAAAATTCTATCACACAAACACTTGAGAGCAAATGTTCATAGAAGCCTTATTCATAATAACCCTAGGTGGAAATGGCCCCAAAGGCCATCAATCAATGAATGGATAAACAAGGTGTGGTATATATATTCAACGAAGTGGGACTTGGCCATAAGGAGGAACTAAGTACTGCTACATTCTGCAGCATGGGTGGACCTTAACATTTGGCTACATGAAAAGCCAGGTACAAAACCATGTATTCTATGATTTCATTTATATGAAATGTCCAGATGAGTAAGTATAGAGAGACAGAAAAAAGATTGCTGGTTACATAAGACTGAGGCCAAAGAATGATAGTTAAAGGGCAGCATGGGACTTCTTTTTTGAGTTGATGAGAATGTTCTAGAATTGATTGTGGTGGTGGTTGTATAACCCTGGGAGTATACTAGAAACTGTTGATGTATAAGCTTAAAACACAAAAATTCTCTCTACTCCTCCAAGGCTTGGCCTAAATACCACTTTTTCCATAGTACCTTTCCTGATCAGAGGAGCCCTGATGGCATAGTGGGTTCCTTGTAAAGTAGCATAGATAGTTCAGCCTAGTAAATAGGTATTACTGGTACACGTAAGCTGGATTGTGCAAAATATAAAGTTTCTGCTGAAAAACAACAAAAAATCGAATAGTAATTTTTATTTTCACTCTCCAGGGCGTGCCACCCAGTGTGGTCTGCACTCCCCTAGTGGAGCCACTGCTAGAGCTTCTGGGGGTGGAGGTGTTTCACACTTTTCTGTTCTGTGCTTGGGCATTGTGCCACCAGGCACCCTTCACTATGAAGTTCAGCTGGCTTGATATGCCTAGAACGGAACTGTAGTGGAATGCAATGTCTACATGTGCCTCTTCTATTCAGGTCCACCCAATGATTGCGTGGGACTAGGGAATTGGTCAGTTTTATTGCCACTTCCCTGGCTACAAGGAGGAGATGTCAGGATAGGAGGAGAGAGACATCCCAGAACTGTTGGGAGAAGAACGCCCCCACACACACACACACACCCCACACCCCAGTGCAGCATGTTGGATATCTGTCTGAGGTGGTGGAAGCTGAGGTAAGAAGGCCATGGGACAAAACAGAGAAGTAGTACCAAGACCATGGACTGTGAAACAGAGGCCAAGGGACCATGGAGCTTGGATCCTGAGGACCAGAGAGAC